TCTAATCACCAACACTATGCTTAACATAAGGAAGAAGCAGATTAAATTTCTAGGACGCATGATGAGAAAGGAAGGCCTGGAGAATCTGATACTAATGGGACAAATAGAGGGAAAAAGAGACAGGGGAAATCAGTGCATGACATACGTGGCGGGCTGGAGCAGGTGGATAGTGAAACATAGTCTAGGGGAATTGGCAGAAACACAAAACCTGTTGAGAGCCACAAAGGACAGGGGCAAGTGGAGGGGCATGATCGCCTATGAAAGGACATAACACATAAAAAAGAATTTTACAAATGCATCTTCCTATGAAGAGGCTTTAACAATACTGGACAGGATCTACCTTAAAAAGTAAAATGAAATGGTCTCTAAACACTTATTGGTTATAATGCATCAACTGCCTTCAGAATTCATTGACGGATTTTATCAAGCCTTGATAAAACTAAGTAAGGACTGTTCATTTTCTTCAGTATCAGCAGAACAATATAAAGCTGAATTGATCCAAAATGCCTTCGTAAACGGGCTATGCTTCACAAATATTTGACAAAAAGTACTTGAAAATGACACCTTAACATTACAGTAAGCCTATGACCAGGCAAGAGGACTAGATTTAGCAGAATAAAATGCTAAAAATTACAATACAGTTGCAGAGACCTCTCTATCTATTTTAGCTTCCTAATCATATGAAATACTAGGCTCTCCAAAAATATCATGTTTTTTTTTTTTTCTGTGGGGGCAAGAGGCACACAAAGTCATTATGCCCTGGTAGAAGAGATGAATGCTTTACATGTGGCAAGTGGGGACATTGGGCTAAAGTTTGTAAAAGTAAGAAAAAGAAGAGGAAAATGTTAACCTGTTTGGAATCATTGAAAATATCTCACTACTTATCAACTACAATGTTAGAAATCACTGCTAATAAAAAGCCACTAAAAGCACTAATTGGCACGAGGAGCATAAAAACTTTTTTAATGCAAGCATTGTGAAATTAAATTCATGGAAAATTTACCTGTGCCTAAACAAAGTGATGATGGCTAACCTATCTTTTTCCATACAAATACTTGGATACTGTTTAATTGACTTACAAGTATAGGGTACTCTATATCAAGATGTCTACTTATAATGATGCGGTGACATCCTCACCCCTACAGTACATGACAATGCCATCCTGTCTTCCGTGTGTCCACAATCAAATCCTATGGCTAACTGTGAAGTTGGTCACTTCGATCCAAACCTCTCCCTGTCCTATGTTGTGTTTGTTTTGATCACAAGGAAGGCAAGGATCAAATTGTCACCAGTTATTGTTGGATTGGTGTTGTTCAGGCTAGTTGATGTTATAAGACAAAAAAATGAAAGTTGTGTAAATCAACAAGGTTTATATAACTGAGGTTTATATGGGAACACTTTTTTATATAAGAATCTACAAGCATGCTGGATAATGACCATTACCTCGTAGTCTAATTTTGTGACATTTTGTTCTTTGTTTTCAAGTCAGAGTCAAGGTTTCAAACTTTAAGTTGAAGAATTCTTCAGGAAGCAAATTATGGAATATTAATGATGTATTCGTTTCCCTCTTTCTTTCTCTCTCTCTCTCTCTCTCTCTCTCTCTGTTGAGAGGCTTTCAATTCTTCCACTTTGCAATTTCATCAGGGCACTCTGCTCAATAGTCTGGAACAAGCTATGAGTCAGGAGTTCTTCATGGTATAATGGAAGCACACATCTGCCTCAAGTGCTGCTCTCTCTGTCTTCTCTTTTTGTTTCTCACTTCTCTGCATAGCTATTTATAGGGTCCAACCTCCAAAAACCAGGTTGTCATTGGTTTGTTCTCAGATGCCTTTGAATCTCTTGTCAACTAATCAAATATCTCCTTGGGTGGTGTTGGGTGGTGCTGGGTGGCCCTTGTATGTCAAATAATGGGGAGCTCCACCTGCAAGTGGGGTGGCAATAGCAACACATTGCTCTGCCATCTTGTTCTCTCCACTTCTCTTGCTTGTACTTCACACTAGTACCTTTCAATGGGTGTATTCATTTCCCTCCCACCTACTCATATCAGCTTCTCACACTGCCACCATCCATGGAATAGATATTCCACTATGAATGCCTGCTATTTCTAATGTAATCATCAAATCCTTATCTGCTCTCTGGGGTGGTCTCTTAGTCCTCAGCAGAAGCCAGCACCCTTCCCTACACACTGCCTGTTGGTCCTAGCTAGCAAAACAAAATAAGGAGATGTCACGTCCAATTAGTGCTGGACAATTCAACTTCTAACGAGTTCCTTATTCATGAAATGAGAAATAAAATAAGAGTAAATTTTCTCTTGTTTTCAGTATGTCCTTCAATCTATTTACTACCTTCTTTGTCTTTGTGTTCACTTTCAATTTAATTTAAGCCTTTTTTCTTTCTTCAAATTATCAGCATTTTTGTAGTGTCACCTATTAATGAAAGATCTATGCTGTGAACTAATATTAAGGCACAACTTCTTACACCAACATTTATTAGTAGAAATACCCTTCAGAGACTCTCAGCCATCCTTTAAAGTCTATGGCCTAGCATCTATGAGAATGCTGTACCCAGCTCTCTTCAACAATTTAACACCAGAAGAGCTACTAAATCTAGGTGAAACACTGTAGAGAATAAATTATTTATCCAAACTGAAGTTACTCATATGTTGAAGGAAGGATTAATTGAACCCTGTCATTCACCATCATAAACCCAAGCCTTCATGGTCTCTTCTGAAAACAGAAAAAAACAAATGGTAATCATCTATTTCCAAACAATAAACCGCTTAACTTTGCTGGATGCCTGCCCTCTGCCAAGAATAGACAAAATGATAGAGAAAATAGCTAATAACGGTCTATTTAGTATTCTGAACCTTAAAAATGCCTATCATCAGGTAGCCATAAGGCCCAGCAATAAACCCTTTATGGCCGTCAAGGCCAGTGGCAAACTATCAATTTCACAGAATACCATTTGACGTGACTAACAGGGTAGCTAGTTTTCAATGAATGATAGACCAGAGACTATCAAATGAGGACCTGCAAGGTACCTATGCTTACATTGATAGAGTAACTATTTGCAGGAAAAATCGAGCAGAACAAGACAAAAATCTTACATTATTCATGGCGACTGTTAAAAAGTACAAGCTTATGCTTAACCAAGACAGATGCTATTTTAGACATAAAAATATAAAATTACTTGGATACATAATAAGTCAAAACAACATAAAACCCAATCCAGAATGTCTGAATCCACTACTCAGCCTACCAGTCCCAAAAGATTTATCTGCTCTGTGCCATGCATTAGGAATGTTTGTACACTATGGGCACTGGATTTCGTTTTTTCTGACAAATTCCATCCTCTAATAACAGCATCAAACTTCCTATTAACTCCCATAGCAGAGAAAGCTTTTAATGAGTTAAAGAGGGACATAATGAAAGCAGTCATTACTATGCCCGATCATACACTACTTCTGATAGTAGAGACGCCTCAGAATGCACCATAGCCACCTCTTTAAGACAGCAAAATTAAAAATGAGAAGAAAGCCAGGTGGAAAATGGAACTCTTGTGTTACTTGTTTGACATAACATACCGCCCTGGTAAAGAAAATGCAACTGTAGATGCCCTCTCTTGTGTATGTAGCTCAGCTGCTTGCAAAGAAGCGTTAAAGAAACTTTATAGAGAGTTATGCCACCCAGGTGTTACACACATGGTCCACATGATGAAAAATCAAAAACCATCACTATTCAGTAGAGGATATGAAAAAAAACACCAAATTGTGTAAGACTTGTGCTTAAACCTAGGTTTTACTGTTATAACACCAGCAAAGTCATAAAAGACACACAACGCTATGAAAGAATTGCATTGGACTTTAAAGGACCACTTCCATCAAAAACTCTTAACAAATATATGCTGACAATAATTGATGAATATGTCCTGAGGATAGCCTTCACTTACTGATGAATATTCACAGTTTCCTTTCGCAATGCTCTGCCCCGATGTATCTTCTACAATGGTCATACAAGCACATTGCTCAGTTTTTGCTGTCTTCGGGTTACCCACATATATTCATTTGGACAGAGGGGCTTCATTTATGTCCAAATGTGCACAGTGGTTCCTACAAGAGTAAAGAGTAGACATAAGTAGAACAACTCCATATAACCCTCAAGGTTACGGCCAGTGTGCAAGGTATAATGGAATAATTTTGAAAACTGCTCAATTAGCAGCGGCTGATAAACAGGTAGCTTTAGAGAATTGGAAACAACTACTCCCAGAGACCCTGCATGCAATTAGAATGCTGCTATGCACCACCACTAATGCAACACACCATGAATGATTCCTTCTGTTTCCTAGGAGAAGTTTGACTGGAGCGTCCTTACCATGTTGGCTCTTGAAATTGGGGGTGATATATATTACAATGAAGCACTGGTGGATCAAGTGAAGCTTCTAGATACCAACCCCCAGTATACATATATCCGTTACTCTAATTGACAGGAAGAAACAGTCTCACTGAGAGACTTGGCTCCAGCAGGGGATGAATCAGGACCCACAAGTCTAAGCGAGGGCTGTTCTCAGGACACTGATTATGAAGAAACAAAAACATGGTCTCCTTATGAAGATTATGAGGTACCCTTGAGCTCTGGTCCTTCAAGTGGTGATGACTGGTTTCACAGAACAGAGCCCACCTGCATACCAATACTTCAGAGAATGAGCAAGCCACTCACAAAGATTACAAAAATGCAGCAGGATTAAATCCAGTTCTAGTAAAAAAGAGGAAGAACCTCATCATGCTCCTGGCAATCTGCCACAGACTCACAGACAGCAAAGGATGCCTACTTGATTCAGTGACTTCTTCTCTCTCTAAGAATAAAACAGAGGAGAATTTGGTATGATCCATCTACCCCATTAATGGATCTGTCCTGAACACATATATTCAGGAGAACTCTGTTGATAAGCAAAGTATATTAAAGCTTACTGATAAGCGATACATAATGTCTAGAACAATTCTACTACAAAGGGAAAAGAGAAAATATGAAGAGAAAGTGAGATGAAAATAAAGGAAAAGAGTAAGAGAGAAAGAAAAATGGAAAGTGATAGATAAAGAAATGAGAAAAAGTGAGAGAAGGGCAAAAATAGTGAGAGAGAAGATATGAAGAGAAAGAGAGAAAGGAAAAAATATGGAAATAGAGAAAGAGGAAGATAGAAAGAAAAATGGAGAGTGAGGGATGAAGCAACAAGGAAAAGTGAGAGAGGGGTAAACATACAGAAGCAGAGAAGAGATGAAGAGAAAAAGAGAAAAGGAGAAATGAAGCAATACGAAAAAAGTGAGAGAAGCAAAAAGATACAGACAGAGACAGACAGACAGACAACAATTCCATTGCTTCAGCAGAGAATATAATATATGGAGAGAGAAAGAAAGAGATACGGAAATAGAGAGAAAAGTGAAGAGATATGCAGAGAGAAAGATAGATGTAGAGGGAGATGAAACAGTACAGAGAGAAGACAAAGGAAAAAGTATAGAAGGAGAATGAGGAGATAAAGAAGAGAAAAAAGAAGAGATATAGAAAGAGGAATAAAGGAGGGGATATGGAAGCAGAGATAGAAAGAAAGATGGAAAAAAGAGAAAAAGTGAGAGAAAGAAAAGTATAGAAAGAGAAAAAACAGAGAAGAGATACAAAAAGATAAAAAAAAAAGAAAGAAAGATAGAGAAAGTGAAAAATAACACAATGAGGTAAAAAAAGAAACATTAAGAAAAACAGCAAAAATACAGAAAGAGAAATTTGGGAGAAAAAAAAATATAAAAATAAAGAGTTAAAGAGAAAAAAATGAAAAGAGAGAGAGAGTGATGAAGGAAAAAATTGAAAGAAATAGAGAAAGAAAGAGACAGAGAAAAAGGAAAATTTATGGAAACAGAGACAGAGATAGAAATAAATGTTGAAACAGAAATTAAGCAATATTCCTCCTCTCTTCAATCAGTTTGAGGTGTTAACATCATCAGTTGATAAAGCTGAATGTTTCGCCCATAAATTCTCCTTAATCTTGCTTAACTTCCCACTTAGAGCTGAGTCTCTGTTGAGTGATACACATAAAACTTTTTCTATGGTTACTGCTATCATATCTAATCTGGTTTCCCACAAAGCATATGGACCTGATGGTAACCCTGTAATAGTTATTAAAATGTATGCACCTGAATTGGCTCCTATTCTCTCTAAACTGTATGATAAATGCTTAGAATATTGCTGCCACATATGGTCCAGAGCTCCTGCTTTATATCTGGAGATCCTTGATAAAATCCAAAGAGAAATCGGCAATATTATTGGTCCTCATCTGATATCTCAGCGTCAGACACTTTCTTACCACTATATTGCTTTCTTATGCCTTTTATATAAACACTGTCATAGTAATTGTTCACAGGAACACTTCACTATGGTACCTAGACTTTATGGGTTTAAACATAGTACTAGATTGATGGCAAGGTCTCATCGATTTACAATTGAATTGGCTAGATGTAACCATAAGTTCTATGCTAACAGTTTCTTTTCTTGCACTTCTTGCTTGTGGAACTCTATTCTGGTTCCATGCTTCCCAGTTAACTTTAATCTTCAAAAATTTAAATGCCATGTCAATCACTATTTGCTGTCCTCTTGATTATTCTTTCTTCATCCCTGCTCCTAAGTAATGTTTCTGTATTTTAATTCTTCCACACCCACTAACCCCTTTTTGTCTTAGTGGCTTTACTGCCTTGCTTGGAGTGAACTTGCTTTAAAAAAAAACAATATAGAAAAAGCAAAAAGCGAGAAAGGGATAAGATACAAATAGAGAGAAATACTGAGAAGGGACAAAAAAAAGAAAGAAAAAGAAAGAAAAAGAAAGAAAAAGTGATTTAGTAAGAGAGAATGCAAGCAGTACAGAAAAAGAGAAATACAAAAAGCAATAGAGAAAGCAATGGAGAAGTAAAAATAGAGAGAAAGCCAATGAAATGTTATGAGAAAGAATAATTGAGAAACAAAGATATACAGAAGGAGGGAGAAAGAGAAAGAAATGTATGGAAAGAGTCAGAGAGAGAGAGAGACACTGTTGAGAGATTTAAGTATTGTGCTTTCACTTCTTTTTACCCTTGAGGATGTTGGCGATCATGGCTCTCCACAACTTCCTCTCCCTTGTTAACCTTAGCAGTTTGCTAAGGCCCTACAATTGTGCTATTGATTTCACACAAACTCATCTTGCCCTATGAGGGTTTAGTTTTCCAAGCCCTCCATCCTCATTATGTTTTCAAGGAATTTAAGCTTTATCTTCCTGATTCTTAGTATAAGACTTCTTCCTGTTGCCATTTTCTTTAAGACTTCTTTGTTGCTTACTCATTTCATCCATGGAATTCTCATCCTCCTCCTGTAGAACCACATTTCTGCTGCCTCTAGTTTTCTCCTCATCTGTGGAGAGATTGTCTGACATTCACAGTGTGTGTTCAGATCTCAGTGTAGCATTTTCCATCCTCTGTTAAAACACTTCCCAGATATTTAAACTTCTGTACTTGCTTGATCTTGACATTTTCAATCATTTGTTCATAAGGAAGGCAATAAAGCACAAGAGGTTACTGAGGATAAAAGACAATAAAGTGAAGGAAAGTGAGTAAACTTTAAAAGGGCAATAAAAAGAACTGAATTCAAGGAGACAGATTATGATGATGGATGTTGTATTTACAGTTTTGTAGATTATAGTTGACAGGGAAGTAAGTAGCTGGAAGAGTGTTCCATTAGCAGGAAGTACAAGTGAAGAAACTAGTAGAACTTATGATTACACGTAGAAATTTCAACTTTAAAATGATGATATTTAGCTGCCACTATAGTAGGATACTTAAATTCATGAAGTAACAAATAGGAAAGCTCAACAGAATAATTCCTATGAAAATATTTGAAGAAAAGGCACAGGAAAACTATCTTATAGTGGTGGGAAATTGATTAAAGCTAATATGCCAAATCAAGACCAATAACATTGCAGATTCTTCTTTGGATTTTTGGAATCTGGATAGCAAATTGTTGAAGCTTAAATAAGCATGGAATAATACAACACAAAATGTACGTTAACAAAATGTATTGAAACAAAGAATAGGTACACAATATTTACAGTTAGTTTGGTATATTCTTGGGAAGACTGTTCCTGCATAATGGGTTGACTAAATCGCAGTCGGGCAGAGTCTCTGGATTCAATTTCTTAATCTCTACTATCTTCCCCGTCTTCCGGTACCAACCCATATTTATATGGTCGGTAGTCCGCTTATGTAAATTAGGTGTATCATACACAACACAAATAAACATCTATTTCCCATCAGAAGCAGATGAAAAAATGATGAAGAATAAAACTAGCCATACTGGAATATCTTCCACTCAGAAATTGAATTGAAAAGTAAAAGGGTTGTTCCATCTTTTATAAAATGGTGAAATTTTGATAAAATAACCCAATTATACAAAAGAGTCTTACTTTATTTTTCCAAACATTTTTATTAGCTTTTATGCTGTACCAAACTTTGTCTCCTTCTTTATGACAGAAAAATAAAATTATTCACTCTTTAGAACAAAAGGCAAAATTCCAAATGTCTGACTTTTTAGCACATTTATTCATTTTCCCTACAAAGACAGAATAAAATATGAGAGTGAAAATATTTTCTTCAGGAAAGAAAAAAGTCAAAGGCAAATTCTATTTTAGCTTTTGTTGAATGCCAAGTACCTGACTGAAATGGCTATCAAGAATATCCAAGAGATATTTGCAACATTGTGCATCAGGAAAACATGCATAATTTCATAGCTGGAAACTGCTGCTAGGCAAACTGACACAAAACCAGCTGCTTGAACTTTTATCATCAGCTTTTATCATCTCCTCCTTCATACAGCAGAGAAAACATTCACTGAGATCATCCTTCATACCTATTGACATTCACAGGAGAAAATAATTGTTGAAGCTAGAACACAACACTTGGAGGCATTCAGACAACATCTGAAACATTTCTCTACCCTTGTCTGTAATTATCAGTCAACCATACACAGATTGAGATTTGAAGTCAGCCTTTCAACAGTAATAGTTGTGCTGATTTACTTGGTAAGTTAGCAATTTTCTGCCACTAAAAGCAAAACCAAGTAAACCAACCATTATTCATATTTTGTTACGCAAAAGTGAAGCCTTAACCAAAATATGTCAATTACAATTGTTATGTCCTTATTATAAAAATATCCTGCAGTTATTGTTTACATTGAATTTTTGGCTGTTTAATCTCATGCCCTCAATAAAACAAAATGGTGTGTCAAAAGGACAATTATTCCCTTGACACTGATATTATTGCATACACTTTTGACTCCCCTGGTAATGTTTATCTTTTTAAAAGCAATGATTAGAATTTTAATAAAACCCAAGCATATGTAAGTGGATTTGGGCACCTCAACATGATGTAATGATTAGTAAGCTTGTCTTGCTAGAATAATTATGACTGAATAGTGAGTCCGATCCTCACTGGGTGGCACATACTTTCAACCTTGGGGCACATCTAAGCTACATTAGAAAATCACCATAGGAAAGTGGATTTATACATTTTCTTTATTCTTGAGAATTGTCAACAAAGATATTAAACTCTATTTGTTCATTAAATTGCTTATTTGCAAGAATAATTTTATATTTCCAAGATTAAAAAAATATCTGAATCAACTATAATGAATGTTTTCATAACTAAAAATATATATATATATATATATATATATATATATATAAAAAGTTTCAAATTAAAAAATAATAATGTTTTATTTTATGAAAGTATTTATTTATTTATATATTTATATGATATATATATATATATATATATATATATATATATATATCATATAAATTGGTAACTAATCAATATTGCATTGTAGTTGAATCCATTACATTCACTTACGTGCTAATACCCTTTGAAAGGTATGAATCCTCTTCTTCTCCCCCAGCTATGGGTAAATAGCAGGACAGACCAGGTTCTATACCCTTGGATGGTAACTGGTCTACCACAGAAAGAAATGGTAACCTACTGCGGGAAAAATTCTGCCTCGTCAGTTATGTATCGAAAGATACATGATTGCCTAAGTGTCTATCATGCATGGCACATAATTGACTGAGTTGGTTTACACATTTTGACATTTTTTGTAATTTTTTATAAATTTTTGAATAAAAAAGATTTCTTTTTAAATGTATTTCTGTATAAAATGATAAATAATAATTTTTTATAAAAGGTAAGTAATAAATATTATATTGTACTTTGTTCACATATTTTTTATAATCTTGTAAATAATCATTGCTGAAGGATTCAAAAGTGTATACAGTAATAGCAGTGTCAAATGAATAACTCTCCATTTGACACACCATTTTTTGTAGGCACAAAGGTCAAACATTGCCAAATTTTCAAAACAGTAGATAGAATTTCTTTCACTGACTCTTTCTTTCATTAAAGTATAATTAAAAATCCATACAGTTTTTTATTGGTATACTTATCATTTTTTTAATAAATTTTCACCCAAAACTAGGCCCAAGAGCCACTCAAGGTAAATTGTTATTGAATAAGGTCTTTTATGAACATAAGAGGAGGAGGTAAGAAGTACAGTCTATGAGGATATGTAGGAAAGATAAGAGTCAACCCTGGCTCCAAAAATATAAAGCATAGCAGGAAGAGTCATTAACTGTACTTTTTGGAGCAGTACAAGGAACCAACCATTTTACCAACACTTTTAGTGATGGATAATATATATGAATTTCACTTGAGGTCTGGTGTGATCTTGAATCCCAATAGGCATTCAAATCAAGGATCATGTTTGAGAGAAAAAAAACACTCCTCATGATCTATGAAAATTCAAGGTCTGCTCAGTTATGGTGATGTTAAAAGCCAGTAACCACCCCCACCTCCACAGAGAGCTGTTAGAGCTAAGTCAGAGGAATGATAAGCTGCTAGGCTCTGGTCATCTAGATTTTTGGAGGTGCACCCATACACTGTGGGTGCACATTCACTAAAGATCTGACTATGTTCTTAACCAGATTGTTAGTATAAAGCAGGAAGAGAGTAGGAGAGAGAATAGAGTTTTGGGGAATGACTGTATTGATTTCATTGATTATATTATAAGATGACCGAATGCATCGAGCAGAGATATTGAATCATATTTTGACAAAAACTTGGTGATACTCAAGTTCAAACCATTCAGGGAAAACTCAGATCAAGAAGTGGTACCACCACTTCAAACATGGCTACACCAGTGGAAGACTATCATGTAACAATCTAGGAAATTCCTCATGAAGTGGGAATAAGCACAGGATCAATGCATTCCATTTTAACAGAGGCTTTGTGCATGTGGACACTGTTGGTGAAATTTGTCCCCAAAATGCTGGGGAAGCAGCAGAAGCAACTCCTCATGTACATCACATGGTTTTCAGATTGGGGAAGACCAGAAGTCCCATGGTGCCAAATCAGGAGAGTGAGAAGCCTGTTGAACAAGTGTTGCATTGTTCTCAGCCAAGAAAGCTTGATGCAATCTCTGCTCAATATGTTCAGTCATCATGCATAAAAACAAAAGTTCAACCAGCACTCACTACATGTCTCTACTCTATGCATAATAGCCAGAAACTGACAAGGCCTACCAGCACAAAAGTTTTCATGCATATGCAGGATGTACAGCATCACCTTTCACCCAAAGGATTTTGCCCATGCAGCATTAGTTTTAGTGGGAAAGAATAAAGTCAGATAGTTTTTGAGCACACCTCTTATTAAAAATATTCCAATATTTTAATAATTGAAAGAAACAGATTTGGATAATTTATTCTTTAGAATTGTTTTGTTGCTTTGTAAAAATATTTTTTTATACATGTGTGTAATAAATATCCAGATAAATTAGTTGGAAAAATAAAAAAAAAATATTTGGAGATTTCTTACCTCCAAATTTTGTTGAGTATTAAAAGACAAATGTTACCATTGTGGCCTGAAAAAGGAAAGGAGCAAAAATTTTTGTTGACCCACATGTTAACTGCCAGTTCAATAATGAGAATGCCAAATGTTTGTGTGTAGAGGGGGAAATGTGGAGATGATTCTCATTGGTTTAGAAAGAGTAGATTAATGGTATTTATAATTGTTCTAATTATTTTATTATAATTGTTTTTAACACTACAATTTTTATTTATTTATTTTTATGGACACAACAAAGTGACAGTATAATTCATTTTTTATTCTTGCATTATTTTAGGGACATGATGATATATAACTTCTATGAAGATGAAGCAAACAAAATGTATAACTATATGTCTATCTTACAATCTTTTTTGTCAACAAGAAATTTCTTAATGCACTTATTCATCAATATCATAAAAGACAAACAAAATAGATTTAATCTGTTCCTGGTAAGTTTCCAATAAAGACTATATGTAAAGGAGAAAATATATATTAAATGAAAGACTGCACCATGATATTGCTTTTTCCAAGCACAGATTTTTCTTGTCTAGGCATTAATAATAAGAGAAAGTATAATCTTACATCAGACAATTATGAACAATAATTGCTACTGTTAAAGATAAATCCATAAGAGACATAAGTAGACACCTCTGTTCTCTATGAGAAATAACATTATTTTTTTATTTAAAAATAACTTCCAATAATTATGTATGAAATAAGATGTATATTTACTGAGGAGGTGTCTATACCACTCAATGCTTTGAACCAAACAATACAGAATGCAGGAAATATTTATTCTATAAAACAGGACAACCGCAGTAGAACTCATCAGCAGGTAGGTTAGGTTTAAGTCTCCAAGTTCTCTACAGATCATTGTCCTACAAAACAATAGCCTAGTGGATTAAAGCATTAGTTCTGAATTTGATGACATAGCAATTGTGAGTGGAATCCCTGGGCCAGGCAGTGTGTACTTAGATTCCATGGAAACAAGATGAGCAATAACTGAGCAGTACTAACAATAAGAACTAGATGAGATATCCCTAGACATGGGCAGAACAAAAACAGTTTACCCCCATAAATTAAATAAAGGGTCCCTGTACGTTACCTGGATCAACATACACCTGTTGAAGACTGGAGGGTACAGCAGCCAAAACGTGATAACAACAACAAAGAATAAGACAATAGTTTGCTTGTAGATAGTGTAAATAATTATAAAACAGGAATAAAAGAACAACATTGAGAAGGTACACCTTTGTTAATGGCAGAGTCTGAATGCCTACATTTTTTAAACATGAAAAACACTACTTACATGACAGACTGTAGAAGAGCTCTTTTTGTTAGGATCGATGACCCTATGCATTATGTGAAATAGAAAGAAGAGAGAAAGTTTCAATTTTGAAAGCATGGCTTTTTAAAGCCACCACTCACCTGCTACAGTTACTTCACTGTTTAATGCAGTGGTTCCCAACTGATTTTGGGCCATGCCCCACTTTGGTATTTCAAACATTCTGGTGCCCCCCCTGTAATATCTAATTCTTACATATTCAAGATTCTACTGCAATTCACTTAAAGGAAGCTTAAAAGGCCATTAACTTGGTTTCTAACCAAGCCTCCAAATGCCTACTACAGATAGATTTTATATTAGGCACCAATTTAGTCAGCTTAAGCCTCAAGTCTCTTCGTTTAGTGATATCCAGTTGATTTCTTTTCTTCAGTAACAAATCATTAACAGCACTAAAGCCACATTCAGCTAAAAATGAAAATGAAAATGGTAACAACAAATTTCTTGTAACTGTGGTTGAATTTTTATTTATGCATACAGTATATGCATTGTATGTATTAACGGGCATTAAGACTCTCACTCATACTTACTGGAAAATGATTCACTGTTAATAACTCATTCTCGAATTACCCCCTTATTCTATTGGTATAGTAAGCCGAAGGGTGCACATCCTACGCATGCCCCAACAAA